GACCACATAGTGAATGCAGGGTCCGGGAGAGAGCGGATATAGTGAATGCGGGGTCCGGGGAGAGAGCGGATATAGTGAATGCAGGGTTCGTGGAGAGCGGATATAGTGAATGCAGGGTTTGGGGAGTGCGGCTATAGTGAATGCAGGGTCCGGGGAGAGCGGATATAGTGAATGCAGGGTCCGGGGAGAGCGGATATAGTGAATGCAGGGTCCGGGGAGAGCGGATATAGTGAATGCAGGGTCCGGGGAGAGCGGATATAGTGAATGCAGGGTCCGGGGAGAGCGGATATAGTGAATGCAGGGTCTGGGGAGAGCGGATATAGTGAATGCAGGGTCCGGGGAGACCACATATAGTGAATGCAGGGTTCGGGGAGAGCGGATACAGTGAATGCCGGGTCCAGGGTTTAGTAACACTTTAAGGAAGTAAGGGTTTAGGATATTCAACAAATTAGGTGGGACCTCGCTGCAGGCATCTCAGCGAATATTTCGATCATGTCCCCCTTGTCTTGCTATGGCCGGATGATCGATGTTAGTGTTTGCCCATTAGCTGAATTACTTTGCTTTGTGTCAGTCTGTCTCTTTTTAGGAAACATTATAACGTTGCATTTGTGTGGCAATGCTTTTTTTTTATTTTACAGATGGATCCTTTAACATAAATTTGTCAGAGAGATCTCCCCATCCTCTATATTCCTGGGATTCCATGGAGGAACATGACAATATCTCTCCAGATAAACAGGTAGTAAATCCTCTGGAGGGCAAAGGGTTAAAAGTCAGGGGTATTATTTTAAAAATAGCCAATGCGTTTCAGGGGTCCAAGTGCCCCCTTCATCAGGACTTGACTGGCAATAAAGTGAACAGACATTAATGGATGTAAACAGATGATCATCCGTTTAGATCCGCTAGTCCATAGAAATACATGGGGGTCCGGTTTTTCATCCGTAAACGGACAGATGGAAACCGAACATATGGAACGCCCTGTGTGAAAGAGTTCTTAGGACTGGGAGAGTGATGTTTGGTGGGAGGGGCTCCAGTATGTGATGCAGTCGAAATTGGGGCCCCTGTGTCCTTGCCTAAACTCAAAAAAGCCTATGAAAAAGGTACCAGGGGCATCTCATGGGTCCCCCTACCGTCCCCAGGCCCTCGGGCAGTGCCCGAGTTTCCAAATGGTCAGTCTGCCCCTGCTTGGAGCTTAAAGTAGTATACTGAGTTCATATAAAGAAAAGCCCGTTCTTCAATACACCTGTGAAACCTTTTGGTGCCAACTGAGTCTCTGGTCAAGTTACAACTCTGTTGCTTCCCCTTTCTGTGATGACGGTTCTTGCTCTTTCAGTTCTGTTTCCCTGAACTTCTGGTCTTTACAGGAAAGAGTTAACAGCTGGGAGTGCAGCCTTCACTCACTCTGTTAGCTTGGAGAAGGGAGGAAGGCGCAGGGAGGAAGGCGCAGGAGAGTGCTTTGCTATCCTAAGCTACAGGGCTGTGTGTTTCTATTGTTGTACACAGTTCTGGTCCTTGTATTCATCAGTGGTTCTGTAGGATGCTGCAAGAGAAAAGATCCACCCTGAAACAGGAAACCTGGGGTAGCAGTCATGGCACCCTCTAAAACTGGAAGCTGCATACTCAGTAAATGATTAAATCAGCTGCTAAAAAGTGCTTAAAAAAACGAGGGTTTAATATCACTTTAACCGTTTCTGTTGTATTATTCAGGAGGAAAATGTTATTAAAGTTGACGTGAAGGAGGAAGCAGAGGAGCCGTATGTGAGGGGTGATGAACCCTGTAAGGAGGAGGAGGAGATCCCTCCAGAGATCAGCCCAGGTGAGGAATAAACACTAAATCCAGAGAAGAGTCCCAGATCCTCCTTGTTCAGTCACTACAACAATCTCTTCCCCCCGCCCTCCTCTGTCAGTAGACAGTAATGGAGGGGGCAGTATGTGCCCAGTGGGGGGTCAGGAGCCATCAGGCTCTAGTAGACTCCAGGTGTGATCTATGTAAGGAGGAGGAGATCCCTCCAGAGATCAGCACAGGTGAGTAATAAACACTAAATCCAGAGAAGAGTCCCAGATCCTCCTTATTCAGTCACTACAACATCTTCTTCTCTCCCCTCCTCTGTCAGTAGACAGTAATGGGGGGACAGTATGTGCCCAGTGTGGGGGGGGGGGGGGTCTGGACCCATCAGCCTCTAGTAGACTCCAGGTATGAGCCATGTAAGGAAGAGGAGATGCCTCCAGAGATCAGCCCAGGTGAGGAATAAACACTAAACCAGAGAAGAGAGTCCCAGATCCCCCTTGTTCAGTCACTACAACAATCTCTTCTTCTCCCCCCTCCTCTGTCAGTAGACAGTAATGGGGGGACAGTGTGTGCCCAGTGGGGGAGCTTCTATTAGACTGCTGTTGACCATATCATAGTACAAGGAATCTAAACTGAGAAGGTACATTGACTGCCAATACTAACCTCATCTTCTGAGCATACTAGTTCCCTGGTTGTCATCCTGATCCAGTGGTATGATCCCATAGCTGGGGGACCATAAGATAGATCCAGAATAGTTAAAGTCTCCTAGCTGGGGATCATGAAATGGATCCAGAATTGTTACGGTCTAATAGCTGGGGACCATGAGATAGATCCAGAATAGGTAATGTCCCATAGCTGGGGACCATGTCATAGATCCAGAATAGTAAAAGTCTCTTAGTTGGAGACCATAAAATAGATCCAGAATTGTTAAGGTCTTATAGCTGGGGACCATGAGATAGCTTCTAAATAGTTAAAGTCTGATAGCTGGGGGACCATTAAATAGATCCAGAATAGGTAATGTCCCATAGCTGGGGACCATTAAATATATCCAGAATAGTAAAAGTCTCATAGCTGGGGGCCATAAGATAGCTTCTTAGTAGTTAAAGTCTGATAGCTGGGGAACATGAGATAGATCCAGAATAGTAAAATTCTTATATCTGGGTACCATGAGATCCCCAGCAAGTCTCATAGCTGGGAACCATGAAATAGATCTAGAATAGGTAAATGTCTCATAACTGGGGACCATGAGATAGATCCACAATATTAAAATTCTTATTGCTGGGGACCATGAGATCCCCAGCAAGTCTCTTAGCTGGGGACCATGAAATAGATTCCAGCATAGGTAAAGTCTCATAGCTGGGGACCATGAAATAGATCCAGAATAGGTAAAGTCTCATAGCTGGGGACCATGAGATATGTCTCTGCAGGGGAGTCAAGTTCTCTAAAGCCTCAGGAGGAGCTCCTCAGACTCAATCCCTTGATAGAGAGGTCCAGCATTTTAGTCCAGAGGTGCTTCAATGGTAAGCAGCCCCCTGACAGAGAAGCACTGTAGAAAACTTGCTCATCAGAGTTGGACGCGGAGTTCCCCTTTTCCTTTGTCTTTTATTTGAGGTGTTCCTCAATCATTCACTCCCTACCCCCTCCCTTCCTGCAAGGCAAATGTTATCTCCTGAGTGACAGATGGGGGGTCAACCACAGGGTAAAGCATCCCTAGTCCCGGTGCCAGGCCGCCTGCGGAAGTGTAACCTTTCTCACTTAAAAGCACTGACCTGAGAAACTCGTATAGGCTCACCCATCATAAAAACAGATAAGACAGCTTCCCCCCCCCATGTTTCATGTCATGGATTATGACAGATGTGGGTTCGAATTCAGAGTTCTCCTGACCCCTCCCAACACAGTGTAGTCAGAGCAACCCCCCCCCTTTCAGAGGGATTTTTAAAAAGGGACAGGCTAGCAAGCCTAAAAGTTCAACACACACATCTCCTGAGTGTGTAACATCGTAACAGAGGAGATTAAAGACCCTTCCTGCTCTGCACTTGGATCTGCTTACAAACCAAGGCATATTGGCAAGTAACTGAACTCTTTAATTTCCTTCCCATTATCTCTTTGCTGTACCTTTATATGCATATATATATATATATAGTTACATTTTCTTTGTAAATATTTTATTGCACCTGTTTGACTCATTTAGTAATAAATCTTTCTTTCTGAAAGTGTTAAACTGTTTCTAAGCGCTTACTTGCAATTCACGAATTCCTGCCTTTGAAGATACGCTACTGTGTTTGTTTAATCCTCTGCCCAATCGGCCTGCGGTGACCGTATTGGACAGGCGACTTTTCAATCATTATAGTGTATATTTGATAACGGGAGTTTCCCAGTCTCCGACAAAAGTGGTGGTGGCAGTAGAGGGTTAGTTGCGTAATTAACCCGACCCAGTAACAAGCGCATTCAGGCTGCAGGCACCGATTGTGGCCCATTAGCTGGACAATCGCTGTGCAGGGTGCAGCTGGGTGTGGCCTTGTTACGCGCGTCACACCGCGGTTTTAGATTGGCCGGTCCTTCGGTCACAAGTTTGGTGAGAAGGTCTGGGGTGTGACGCCGTGGGCGGGACGTATTACTGTTAGTCGCGGTCAAGCGTTTGTCGCCTGTTGGTGGCGGCGATCGTGACAAGCACAATCTCCCCAAGGCTATTTACTACCTCCCAAACCACCTTCTGGGCACACCTCCCCAAGGATTGGCCAGGGCATAGTAAAAATTCAGACTGGTCATTTGGATTTCCCACCCTATCCTATACCAGGAGGGTGCTGTATGTGTATATCACTAGAATGCACAGAATCACCAGACCTTTGGCAGATAAACAGCAGAGACCTATGTATTTGAGCAATGTATTTAGCTGATTTCTGTTTCAACCCTTTTCCATCCATTTCTCCTTTCTTCCAGATGGACTGCGAAACCATAATGACAAAGAGAAACATTCCATTGTCCTCCCGAATGGTGCAAAAGATGATGATATCAGATGTATTTCTATGGAAGGAAAACACTTTCCATCCAACTTCCATCCAGACCTTCACAGTGGCAAGCCACCACCCGATCCCTCTACCTATAGAGGGCGTTTTCCTGACCTCCAAACGTTCAGGCATTCCGACAGAACTAAATTGCTTTCACGCCAGAGGTCTCACACAGAAAAAGTATTCCCGTGCCGTGAATGTGGAAAATGTTTTACTCGGAAATCGACTCTTACCAAGCACGAGAGGGTTCACACTGGAGAGAAGCCATTTTCCTGCTCTGTGTGCGGGAGTTGTTTTTCTGCAAAAGACAAGCTCGTTATACATCAGAGGATTCATACTGGGGAGAAACCCTTTCCCTGTTCAGAGTGTGGCAAGTGTTTCAGGCAAAAGTCCGACCTGGCTACTCACCGCCGCAGCCACACGGCTGAAAAAACCGTTCTCCTGCTCAGATTGCGGGAAGTGTTATGCATGGAAGGACCTACTCATCATCAAACACCAGAGGAGCCACACAGGGGAGAAACCACATTCCTGCGCAGTGTGCGGGAAGTGTTTTACTGAGAGGGCGCTACTTTCTATACACGAGCGAGTGCACACAGGAGAAAAACCATATACCTGTTCGGAGTGTGGAAAAAGTTTTACTTGGCGGGCATCCCTCGTCTCGCACCAGAGGACTCACACGGGGGCCAAGCCCTTCTCCTGCTCTGAATGCGGCAAATGTTTCTCCAATAGAGGAAACCTTTCCGCACACCAAAAAAACTCACGTCGACCACCGGCCGTATTCCTGTCCGCAGTGTGGCAAAGGGTTTACACATAAATCAAATCTGGTTAGACATGAGAGGGTCCACACTGGTGTTCAGCCATATGCGTGTTCTGAGTGCGGAAAACGTTTTACAAGGAAATCCACCCTTATGTCACATCTCAGCTCTTATGTGACATAAGATGTGAACATCCATTATTTTTAAAGTGAATTCCAGGCAGAAATTTTTACGCAAGGGTGAAGTACCTACAGTATATCCCCAAAAGGTTTGTGGACCACTGATCATCTCACCTATATGGACTTTACCATCCAAAACCATGGGCAATCCTATGGAGTTGCCCCTCCCCCTCCTTCCTTTCTGGGTATAACAGCCTCCCCCCTTCTGCAAAGGTTTTCAACAAGATTTTGGAGTTATCTGTTGGAATTTGTTACCATTCAGCCCAAAAAAACAGCGTTTGTTAGGCCAGGTACTGATGTTGGATGAAAAGTAGCAATGATCCTCTAATACAATGAAGCTGGCTACTCGGTAACGTCCATTGCAACAATTTTTTATTGGGTACATGGCAGAAAACATCAGTAACATGCTAACACGTTTTGGCCGAAGCCTTACTCATGCTATAAGTAAGCCTTCAGCCGAATTGCATTGGTTAGCTGAAGTAAAATTGTGTTGGATTCAACTTCTGTGTCTTATTGAAGAGTTAAGCTGCCTGTGGATGGTGCCAAGTCAGCAGGTGACCATACTGTCCGGACAGACTGGGTCTATGCACGAAGCAGAATTTGAAACAAAATGCCTTGCATGAATGAATACAAGACTTCCTCTGGTTGGCAAAGGTGGCGAGGCGGGAAGTTGACGTCACAATCTCAACTTGATTTGGTTCCAGCAGTAGACAGGAAGTCCTCACACCACTGCCAGAACACAGTGTACAAAGCGCTGATAGCGGCCACATCTATTAGTACAGTAAATCGTTTGTCTCGGCTACCTTGGCCCAAACAAACTATTTACCCATTTGACCTCCAGAAGGTTTTACCCCCTTCATGACCAGAGCATTTTTTGCAATTCCGCACTGCACTACTTTAACTGGCTATTGCTCAGTCGTGCAACGCTGTACCCAAATTAAATTTACATCATCTTTTGGTGGTATTTGATCACCACTGGGTTTTTTCTATATTTTTTATTACATAAATAGAAAGGACCGAAAAGCTTGAATAAAAACAATATTTTCTACTTTCTGTTATAAAACATATCCAATAAAATCAAATTTCTTCATAAATTTAAGCCAAAATGTATTCTGCTACATGTCTTTGGTAAAATTAAAACAAAAAACCCAATAAAAGTATATGAATCATTTTTTGTGATATTATAACTTCAAACTATGGAATTTGTACTGGAATTTGCACAGCTGTAGACACTATTCTAGTAATGGTGGTGATCAGCATCTTATAGTGTGGCGGGCAAACTGGTGCTGGCTGGGAGGGACGCTAACTGACTTACACTGATGTCACTAGTGAAACTAATACAGTGATTAGTGATAATACTGTGCACTGTACTTATGGCTTTTATTTACAGGATCTGGCTGTCTTTTCTCCCTAAACGCAGAGCTGATTTTGGGGAGAAGAAACAGCTAGATTGCTGTTCTGTCTGTTTCTTTTTTTGAAAATTATAACGTCTTCAAACTATGAAATGTGTACTGCAATTTGCACAGCTATAGATGCTATACTAGTAATGGTGGTAATCAGCAACTTATAGTGTGGCGGGCAATCTGGTGCTGGCTGGGAGGGAGGGCAATCAAGGAGTTAACTGTGTGCCTAACAAGTGTATGTGTGCAGCTTTTATGTACAGGATCTGGCTGTCTTTTCTCCCTGAACGCAGAGCTGATTTTGGGGAGAAGAAACGGCTAGATTGCTGTTCTGTCTGTTTCTTTTTTGTGAACGTTATAACGTCTTCAAACTATGGAATATATACTGGAATTTGCACAGCTATAGATGCTATACTAGTAATGGCGGTGATCAGCGACTTTTAGTGTGACTGTGATAGTGCGGCGAGCAATCTGGTGCTGGCTGGGAGGGGCACTAACTGACTGACACCGATGTCACTAGTGAAATTAATACAGTGATCAGTGATAATACTGTACACTGTACTTATGACACTAATAGGTGGCAGGTGTGGTCAGGAGGGCAATCAAGGGGTTTACTGTGTGTCTAACAAGTGTATGTGTGCAGCTTTTGTTTACGGGATCTGGCTGTCTTTTCTCCCTGAACGCAGGGCTGATTTCGGGGAGAAAAAAAAAAGATCGCTGTTCTGTCTGTTAGTAAACACCGAGTTCTCTGCTGTGATTGGCCACAGTTGATCAGCAGGTATACAGCCAACATCATTGGCTGTAACCTGCTGACAAACTCCAGCCCAGATCAGCAGGGGGCGTGCGTGCGCATGTGCCTGAAGACCAGGAACTGGATCAGAACGTTCCAGTACGTTGCTGTACCTGGCTGTGCTGTCAACTAGCAATAAATGTACTGGTGGTTAAAAATTAGGTTAACCTTTAACTTTAACGCCCCCCCTTTTAGTATCCCAACCTTTTCTAAGCTACCCTCCAGGTGCCTACTTACCTTTTTTTTGACAGTAGCAGAATCCCCCGGTGTTTGGATCTTTGGAGTGGGAATCTCTGCACTGCCTATGCAGTAACTTCTTAGAGACCTGTTTGGGGTCTTACTACAACGGTAGGGGTACGGCCCATTCAGGTCTATGGGTAGTTACTGAGCAGACTAAAAAGAGGATGTAAGCACCCCGGGAGGTCACTGACCTTAGAAAGTGGTAAGTACCTACCTGGGGTGGGAACGCAGGCTTACTATAGGTTGTCCCAAACCTGTCCTGTCTTCCTCCTCCATCATAACTGCACCCTGTATTAAATGTTTTTTTGTAAAACAAAAATTGATAAAAATAATACATTAAACATAAAAATCATGATAGAGACATCGAAGTATAACGCTCAACTGCAGGCAGATTGGACAGACACGAATTCATGCAGCTCGGTATACATTAACCACTTCAATACCGGGCACTTTCACCCCCTTCCTGCCCAGGCCCATTTTTAGCTTTCAACGCTGTCACACTTTGAATGACTTTGAATGACAACTGCGTGGTCATGCAACACTACCCAAATTAATTTTTAGATTTTTTGAGGTTCTTTTGGTGGTAATTATTCACCACTGGGATTTTTTTATTTTTTGCTAAACAAATGAAAGTTTTGGGGGAAAATTATTTTTTCTTAGTTTCTGTTATAAAAATGTGCAAATGTGCAAATGTGCAAATAAGTACATTTTCTTTTTCACTGATGTGCACTGATGAGGCTGCACTGATGGGTACAGATGAGGCTGTACTGATGGGCACTGATAGGCTGAATGATGTGCACACATAGGCTATATGATGGGCACAGATAGGCTACTGTTATAAAAATTTGCAAATAAGTACATTTTCTTCTTCATTGATGTGCGCTGATGAGGATGCACTGATGGGCACTTATAAGGCTGTATTGATGGGCACTTATAAGGCTGTACTGATGAGGGTGCATTAATAGACACTGATGAGACTACACTGATAGGCTGTATTCATGGGCACAGATAGGCTGCACTGATGGGCACAGATAGGCTTCTGTTATAAAAATTTGCAAATAAGTACATTTTCTTCTTCACTCATATACACTGATGAGGCTGCACTGATGTGCATAGATGGACTGCACTGATGGGTACGATGAGGCTGCACTGATGGGCACAGATGAGGCTGCACTAATAGGCACTGATGAGACTACACTGGTAGGCTGCACTGATGAGCACAGATAGGCTTCTGTTATAAAATTTTGCAAATAAGTACATTTTCTTCTTCACTGATGTGCGCTGATGAGGCTGCACTGATGGGCACTGATGAGGCTGTAATGATGGGCACTGATGAGGCTGCACTAATAGACACTGATGAGACTACACTGCTGGGCACTGATAGGCTGCATTCATGGGCACAGATAGGCTGCACTGATGAGCATAGATAGGCTTCTGTTATAAAAATTTGCAAATAAGTACATTTTCTTCTTCACTTGTGTGCACTGATGAGGCTGCACTGATTGTGCATAGTTGGACTGCACTGATGGGCACTGATGAGGCTGCACTAATAGGCACTGACGAGACTACACTGATAGGCTGCATTGATGGGCACAGATAGGCTGCATTGATGGGCACAGATAGGCTTCTGTTATAAATATTTGTAAATAAGTACATTTTCTTCTTCACTGATGTGCACTGTGGAGCCTATACTGATGGGCACTGATGAGGCTGCACTAATAGACACTGATGGGCACTGATAGGCTGCACTGATGAGCACAGATAGGCTTCTGTTATAAACATTTGCAAATAAGTACATTTTCTTCTTCACTCGTGCACTGATGAGGCTGCACTGATGTGCACAGATGGACTGCATTGATGGGTACTGTGAGGTTGCACTGATGGGCACAGATGAGGCTGCACTAATAGGCACTGACGAGACTACACTGATAGGCTGCATTCATGGGCACAGATAGGCTTCTGTTATAAAAATTTGCAAATAAGTACATTTTCTTCTTCACTGATGTGCGCTGATGAGGCTGCACTGATGGGCAATGATGAGGCTGCACTAATAGGCACTGATGAGACTACACTAATGTGCACTGATAGGCTGCATTGGTAGCCACAGATAGACTTCTGTTATAAAAATTTGCAAATAAGTACATTTTCTCTTCTTCACTGATGTGCACAGATGAGGCTACACCAGTGGTTCTCA